AGGTTTTTGGTTTTGTTTTGTTTTGCTTTTTTTCCTAAGCAAAATACCAGCAGTTTCACCCGTGTCCTTTAGAAGCTGTTGTAAAATGTTTAGTTTTGCTCAGAGTTTACCTTTTCATTGTGATCACGGGAATAATTGTGCTTCTTTGCTTAAGCCTTTCTCCTTTGGCATGTGGCATACCCCAATAAACACTAGAGGCAGTAAGCTTGTCTGGTTTTCTCCCTGACCAAAGAGTTTCGTGTTGCAACAAGACTCCTCTTCTGCTGAGATCTGAAAGTGTTACCTGACTTCTTCTTGCCCTTTGAAGTTTTTGCATTTAAAGGAACCAAAGCGAACACGTAGCCTGGTCTCCCGTCCCTCGTGCCCCTCTTTCTCAAAAGATTTGGGTGGCTTGTAAGTCTGGCAGGAGGGCGAAGGAGGTCTTGCAGGGGTGAGGTGGTCGGGGGGAGGCGAAATTGCTGGGTCAGGCTCAGCGTGATGGTCTGATCCGCCCGAGCCTGTGAAACACGGGGGGGAGGGGGTGTTTCTTGAATGGCATCTGTGGGAACGAGCCCGTTCCTGGCAGTGTGGCAGGAGAGAAAGAGGCAGCTGCGTTGCGCCTGGATGCTCTTCTCTGTCCTCCTGCTGGGTCTCCTGGGGTGACAGAGGCAGTCGGCCCATTAGAGCAGAGCAGACCTTCGGACTCAGTTGGTGGTAGGAGGCTCTTCCTTTCCCCTTTCTCAGCCCTTTCCTTGTTCGTGTTGGCCAGCTTGGGATATTCCCACTAGTCCTTCCCTCTCCTCCGAGGTGGTCCCGGTGCTGTGGTGCTCACAGCTTTACATTGCTCAGCCCCGAGTGCTTTTGGAGCATCCTACAAGCGACGGGGTGGAAGAGGGCAGGGTCACCATCACCCCGCCAGCTAATTCAGAGCTAATTTCTCAGTATCCAGCCCGGCAGCTTTTACTGCTGTCTGGACTGGCCAGGGATCCACAGGTTGCTTTTAAGGCACCTCCAAAAGGTAACCGAGACCATGGGAAGAGCAAGATCTCAACCCCCAGCCGAGCCCTACCTCCCCACAAAAGTAGAATATTTTTCATGACTTGTAAATTTAGAGCCAAAAACTCCCGTTGTGGTTTGACCTGTTGCTGAGGAGACCTTGAATCACATCCCTGGTCAACCGCAGACTCGCTCTGCGCTCCGGATGAGTCATTTCATTTATCCCATGCTCCGATCCCTGTTTGTAAATGCTCGAGACATCAACGTACCAGCGACCGACCGTGGAATGTCACAACGCTGCCAGCAAAGGCGTGTAACTACTTGGATGGGGAGATGGTTTGGGCAATAGTTAAATATTCAGGTGAGTTGTAAAGGGACCTGAGATGGCGTTGAATGAAAAAGACACCTACTTCCCTCGGAGTCACCCCAATCTAGCTGCCTCTGTGTAAACTTGCCTCCAGCAAATGACTCCTGACAGCAGGGCAGTGTGATGAAGAGACAAAAGGCTTCTAGATGTGTACAAATCCCGTAGTTAAAACAAACAGACACCAAAAAGCCCTTGCCTTTTGTTCCTATGATTGCACCAGCAATTAGGGGAAAATTCTCCTGGGCTGGACCGAGATGTGACACAGTTCCTGGCTTTTGTTGGAGGAGGGAAAGCATTTTATGTGGCCTGAAATAAGTTTCGTTTGATTTCGTTGCGATTTTCCCCCCATTTTAAAAGTCTCTTCTAAAGCGCAGGGAAAACAGTTAGATGTCAAGTGTTTTATGGAAAGTGTGGGAATTAAATGCTTCGCTTTGCCTTTTTCCCCCGCAGAAATTCTCCCTTTCTGCGGTTGAAGACTTTTCCTAAGTTCAGTGCTGAAAGGAGCCTTTTCCTCCAAATATTCAAGGCCTGAGCAGCTTTTCCTGTGTTCCTGCCTGTTTTCATGGAATCATAGGACACGTTGGGTTGGAAAGGACCTTTAAAGGGCACTTCCCTTCGTTAGGGCTTCGGATACAAGGATGCTGTTTGAGATCCCTGCAGCCCAAAGCTGCCTGTTGTGTTCAAACTGGGTGATAATGGCGATCTCCAAAGCCCGAGCTGGTTTCCTCAACTGGGCTGGAGACGCGGCCGTGACTCAACGAGCGCGTTATCTAAACACGGGCGCTCGGGGACTGGAGCCTTGCGCTGACTTCACGCACCTCCTCCCAGCACGGCTGGGAACACGAAAACCTTCTCATCACGTCGTCCCGCCCACAGAAAAAGAAAAAAAAAACACCCCCGCCCCCCCGAAAAAAAAGGTAACCGCGTATTTGGTAACGCGGAGGGAGGCAAAGGAAGGCTCTGTAAAACGCGTGTGCGTCTGTGCGTGCGCGTATACGTGATGGTACCTACAGCAGCTCCAAACCCACGGCACCCTCCTGAACCTTGCGGTGCGGCAGGCGGCGGCGGAATGGGTTTGGCT